CCATCACTGATCTTTTGAAAGGGGAACTTGGAAGTGTCAGTGTCACAGATCCAGGAACATCCAGGTGCAGTTCAACGAGCCACAACGGCTGGCTTTCCAAAAACTGCGTAACATTCTGGCTTCTGAGGATGTCATCCTCAGATACCCCGACTACCAGAAGGCATTTGATCTAACGACAGATGCCTCAGCGTACGGCATTGGCGCAGTGCTATCCCAAGAAGGGAGACCCATAACAATGATCTCTAGGACCTTAAAGGACAGGGAAGTTAATTACGCTACCAATGAAAGGGAGCTATTAGCTATAGTTTGGGCATTGGCCAAATTACGCCACTAATTATATGCAGTCAAAGATATAAATATCTTTACTGACCACCAACCGTTGACCTTCGCAGTGTCGGAATCCAATCCGAATGCGAAAATCAAGAGGTGGAAAGCCCGCATCGACGAGTCCGGCGCTAAAATTTTTTACAAGCCCGGCAAATATAACTTTGTTGCGGATGCCCTCTCAAGACAGCAACTTAACGTTGTGGAAGAGGAAGAGGCTTTTTCTAGCGCGGCCACAATTCACAGTGAGCTGTCGCTAACCTACACCATTGAAACCACGGACAAGCCTTTGAATTGCTTCCAGAACCAGATAACTCTGGAGGAGGCACAATTTCCGTTAAAACGCTGCTTCGTCCTCTTTGGAAACAAGAGACGGCATGTCAAAGAGTCATTACTTGATGAACTCGCAGATGTAATCGTTCCTAAAGGCGTAAACGCCATTCATTGTGACTTGCACACGCTGGATATGATACAGGACGAATTGGTTCGGCAGTTTCCAGCCACCAAGTTTTGGCATTGCAAAAACCGCGTGACGGATATTTTTGCAGTTCCTGAGAGACGGGAAATCCTCACCGTCGAACACAACAGGGCCCACAGATCGGCCCAGGAAAATGTTAAGCAGATACTTTCCGAGTACTACTTTCCAAAAATGGCCAAGCTAGCCACCGAAATTGTAGCTAACTGCAAAACATGTGCGAAAGCCAAGTACGATAGGCACCCAAAGAAGCATGAGCTAGGCGAGACTCCGATCCCCTCTCATGTGGGAGAACTGCTACACATCGACATCTTTTCCACAGACAAGAAATACTTCCTTACTTGCATAGACAAGTTTTCGAAGTTTGCAGTTGTACAACATGTCCATTCTAGGACAATCGAGGATCTTAAGCCGGCCATTCTCCAAATCATGAACTTTTTCCCTAGGGCTAGAGTAGTCTATTGCGATAATGAACCTTCGTTAAACTCGCACACTATCTCAGCCATGCTTAACAACCATTTTGGCGTTAGCATTGCAAATGCCCCACCACTTCATAGCGTCTCAAACGGGCAGGTAGAGCGCTTTCACAGCACCCTCTTGGAGCTTGCTCGTTGCCTGAAAATCGACAAGGGGATAACCGATACTGTGGAAATTATTTTATTGGCAACCGCCAAATATAATAAATCAATTCACTCTGTCGTTGACAAACGGCCAGTCGATATCGTGCAAAAGCACCCAGACGACCCACAGACGGAAGTCCAGAATAAGATCGTTAGGGCACAAAATTCGCTCAGGGCCAGGGAAAATGCCTCCCGACAATGTAGAACATTCGAAGTCGGCGAAAAAGTTTTGGTCAAGTCAAACCGAAGGCTTGGCAACAAACTCACACCACTGTGTGAGGAGAAAGCTGTTGAAGCAGACCTGGGGACCACGGTCCTCATTAAGGGGAGGGTGGTCCACAAGGACAACATTAGATAATAATTCATTTTTTCTAATGCTTACACCTAGCCACTTGGCATAGGTTTTTTTTCCATATTTTTTCACCCCTAGCCACTTGGCATAAGTTTTTTTCCATATTTTTTCACCCTTAGCCACTTGGCATAAGTTTTTTCCATATTTTATCACCCCTGTTTACTTGGTGTAAATTTTTGTTATAATTGTGTTTTCTTCTTTATGCTTTGGTGGAGGGCTGCAATATTTTAAACAAACACTACAACACATCCAATATTACAGGTTCGCAATCGTATCCCTGTTAGTCCTGCTTACCGTAACATCGGGGCATGTCTCGGACTACTCCCAGGCCAAATATATTCCCATCATTGATGGTAGAATTTTAAGTTGGGAAGAATTCCCATCCGTAACCCACTCGGCGAATCTCTCCGAATATAGGCGTGTGGTGGAAGAAACGGATGGCATGACCAGCATGTTTCCCCAGTCACACATGCAGAAACTTTTGAGCGTCGATGTCGCTCATCTGCGTGACCTGCTCGACTCGTTGAGCATCCACCACAGAGTAGCTAGGAGTTTGGATTTCCTAGGAGCCGTGTTAAAGGTAGTGGCAGGAACGCCAGACGCAGAGGATTTAGAAAAAATCAAACTCAATGAATTTCAACTAATAAATGCAAACAATAGACAGATAAATATCAATAGTAAAGTACAAGAACAAATCAATAGTATTACTAACACTGTCAATCCACTTCTGAGGTCAGCCAAGGGAACCCAAATCGACACGGGGCATCTTTATGAGATGTTGTTATCCCGAAATAGAATGATTAATATGGAGCTGCAAAATTTATTACTAGCGATAGCTCTAGCCAAGGCCAACATTGTGAGCCCTACTATATTAGATCATGCAGACCTAGAAGATATATGGATAGAGGAGCCCACAAATACCCCCATCAAAGACTTATTGTCCGTTGCTTCCGTCAAAATATTACAATCCGCTAACCTTTTGCATTTTGTCATTAAATTTCCAATAATTAAATCATCATGTATTAAAATCACTGTTTTTCCCGTGTCCCATCATGACACGATGCTCAGACTGGAGGACAGAATAATAGCTGATTGCAATGGAGCGATTCACACGGTCGACAATTGCTCCACAACACCTGGAGCAACATTTTGCCAGCTGGCGTCAAGAAGGTCGTGCGCACAAGAGCTCCACGCTGGAGGCATAGCACACTGTGACATCCAGCACAGCGATCTACACCCAGTCACTCGTGGATGAAGGCATCATAATCGTGAACGATCGTCCGGCACGTGTGAGTGTAGATAATGGCACTTACATCCATGTACGAGGCACGCATCTCATTACCTTTACTGAGAGTGCCACGGTTAATGAAACCCGATATGTCAACAATGACAGAGCCCAGAAAAGGGTCCCAGGAGTAGCCAGCTCACCCTCCCTGAACATTACTATGGAACACAACATCCTCAGTCTTCCGTACCTTCACCGCTTGAGTGAGCGTAATCTGGAACACATCAGGAGAGTCGGGGAGAATATCAACGACTATCATTTACATCAGATAGTACTGGTAGCAGGAGCAATATGCTGCGCGTTGATCTGCGTCGGTTTTACCTATCGGCGAGTCATCCAGGCCAGGAGAGCTACGGCCCAAATAGCGGATATGATCGCCCAAATAGGGTCGGCCGAGGGCGGCCTTAATCCTGAGGGGGGAGTAGTTAACTAAGTCAACCGGGCGACGGCAATGACCGACTGTCCGAGAGTTCGCTCCGGCCAAATTGCTGACACAGCGTCTGGCCGGAAGCCCGTGCATAGCCGGCAAGCATTACCCATTGGAGTGGCCGCTATGATTCTCTTTTTATGTTAGCTTTAAGTTCAGTTCATTTTAAAGTTTCAATAAAGACAGAGCCATCGCTCTCGTATAGGAATTCCGGCACCGCCGATACACAGAAAATTACTTTTATTATTATTGGTTGTTGTGCCTTAAGGGCCAACGATAACGGAGGTAGTTCCTCCCTACGTAACACTCAACAAGTGAAAGAAGTCTGCTAGGCGCACCTGCCTGGAGCGCTTCACAACCCCTAAAGAAGGAAGGAAGAACACTAGGTCGACCGGCCTGGCTCACCCCCTCCCGCTGACGACATAACGAAAGTTACCAGCTATCTTCTAATTTACATATACTCTATAGAGTCGGAAACGCTTCCTTTTAACTGTTCCATAATTTGTAACGAATACAATATAATATATCTATATATGTAAAGAGGTCTGCTGTTAATAGGAACTTTAGTGATCCGGCAGCTCTAACACGCTGTTAGAACTTAAGAAACTTAAGTAAGCAAAAAAATTATTTTAAAGTAATATAACTCAAGTAGACTAATAAATATTAATCATCTCGAGAATCAATGTGTGTTGGTGCTGCGGAAAAAAGAGAGATTGATAACTGTGTTCGTTTTTCAAATAAATAATGTAGATTGTTGTCCGCGCTGGATGCATAGTCACCAATCGCAGAGCGTCCTAGAAAACAAAAAACGTAGACAAGCTTATACTCACAAATAAAAACTCATGGGCTTTAAATATATAACCAGAACCATGGATCTCAAACAATTTTTTTAACGAATTTTACTTTTGTTTGTACTGTAAAATCGTGGTTTTCCTTACCATTTTGTAGCAAAAAGTGCCTTTACCATTAAAAATTTTTTTTTTCGTTTTCGATTTATATCGATCTTTTTAACAATTGAATCGAATAGAATCGATTCTCAAAAAGTAGGATTGTTACAACTATACTATAAGATTACACGGGTTAGGCTTTCACTGTAAGTTATCGATATTAAAAATAAAAAAAATCTAATGCAAATGCTAACACATATCATAATAACATAAAATCTTTACTTTTGAATGCAGTGGGCAACATCGAATTTGTTAGTTTAATAGTTTACAACGCTCAATTGTGTTCATGTAATTGTAATTATTCTGTGCATTACAGTTACTACTTTTTAAGATAGCTTGTCAAACCCCAATAAGGTAACCATTCGGCAGCTAATACCCGAATATTACTTTTTTCGAAAGGCGTCTTCAATTTCAAGACATTTTCCAGAAATCCAGAAATATTTTAACTGTTTCGCAGAGATAATGTACTCTGCTCTATTTCGGGGCCTTGAATGCAACCAGTGGGAATATAAGGTTACATTTTGTTAAAATGGGATGTGTAGGGTGGGACTAGATCATTTGGATATATGGCCACATCAAATCCCAAACCCTACAACAAAAGTTTCATTAAAAAAGGCGTCAACGCTTGATAAACGATTCCTAAATATATAAGAAATTGATGCTTAAACCGAACAAGATGGGAACTTTAACTGATTTTGGGCAAATAGCTCTGAAATGGGATCCCAAAAATTTGGAAATTCGTACAATGTCAGTAGAGAAAACACTAGAGCCCCTTGTACTACAAGTAACAACTCTTGTGAATACTAAGGGTCCAAGCAAAAAGAAAAAAGGTAAATCAATTATTGTTTTCAATCCATTTGTGAAGAATTTCTTAATGAAGTATCCATGTACTGATATAAAGTAACTGCTTGCAAAATTAAAATGTATATAAAGTAGTATGAAAGTGTTGATATACCCACATATACAATACATATAATTGTGTACAGGCGCTTGTACATACATACATATGTACTTCTGCATATACACTGGCTCCAAGCTTATTTCGTGCAAGAATAAATCGAAATTTAAATTCGATACTGGTACTGAACCAGAAGAGATATCAAAAAAATTTAATTTAAATTTAATGTTAAGAATGTCGCATATTATTAAAATAATAAGTTTTTACTAATTTAAAAAACAAAAGAATTTTTCATACAAAAAGCACAAGCTTATTTCGTGCAAGAATTTTAATGGTAAACTGCGACTTTTAAATCCATTGTTTTTTCTTAATACTAGTAAAAATATATTAACAAAAGCATATTTATAAGTTTTCGAGGCTGGGGGCACCCAAAAATTATGGATTAACGAGGATTTTCAAACTATGACGCCACGAACAACTATTGAGCAAAGCGAATTAGTCCTTAAACATTTTAAGGATGGGAAAACCCAGGAAATGGTTGCCAAGCCCTAGTACAAACCCATACATAACCCAAAGGCTTTTTTGCGAGAATCGGGTGGCTGATAAGGGCCGTGATGCTCCGAACACAATTTTTAATGACCACGAGGAGAGACGTATTGTCCGAAAAGTGAAGGAAAAATCATGGATGCCAATAAATATTGAACTATTTTGAAAGAAAATTTGGTGCAAAGTACAGAAACTTTGGGAATAAAGGATAGGTTCCGATTCTACCAAGGTAATGACCCCAAGCGCACTCGCTTTAGTTGGTCTGGAACTGCCCCCATGTGCAGTTCATTACAGTCTCGTGACTTAAAAGTGATAGAATATTTGTGGAATATTTTAGTCATGTCAATTCGGAAAAGGCAAATTTCCAACAAAAATGAAAATGAAAATTGCCCCATAGGAAGAATGGGTTGAAATTCCCATGGAAATCAAAAAAAAATTGGGCGAATCCTTCGAAAATCGTCGTCAAGAAAAATAATGGAAGTCAAATCAATTATTAAAATTAGGAATTATGAAAGTTACAGTAGTTTTTACAGCTTGCACGAAATAAGCTTGTCGTCTAAATTGCCTTAATTTTTAGTTAGTAACATTACTGCCAACCAACTTTCTATAGAAAGTTATCGACAGAAATGTTAAGTCGTTTTTATGCTCAAAAAAGTATTCGTTGCACCACAAAATAATTGTATTTTTTTAAGTTTTTTTTTTTTTGATTGAGTTGTTTTTTTTCCTTCGAATTTGGTTTCTTTACTATTTTAGTGACTGAATTCTACGAAACCCAAAGATTGTGAAGGTCATATAGGTGTATATCTGCTAAAAAGAAAAATGCCAACAGCGAACAGAGTTAAATGAATCCCAAATAAAAATTTATTAATACCATAAAAAACTCGGGAAAAACTCTTAAATACCTTTGTAAAATGTTCGAGTGAAGTCCCTTAACTATCAAAAATATTATATATAAAGTAAACCTTCCTTGGAAAATATTCTTCATTTTGGCCGTCCTAAATCATTGACCATCAGGAAAATTCTTAAAGAAAATGGGAAAAATCCCCACATCATAGTTTAGACATTAGAAGTACAAGAAAGATACTATTAATTTCAACCGTAACAAATAAAGGCGTATTTCCTTTGCTAATACAGTCGGCACATAATTTAATCATACACCCATGAGTTGCAACTTTATTCCTTAATATCTCGAGAAATACGTAACGGAAATAGAAATGTAATATCTCAAATAAAAGATATATATTTGGAGCATATATTTTAAACATAAAATTAACAAGTTTTAACTAAAATACTAGATAATTTCCTTAATAGCACAAAAAAGTCATTATTTTACGTACACTTCATAAAATGTTGATAAAAAACAACAATTCCAAAGATTTCATGATTTTAATCTTTAGTGGGTCCTTCGTTGGCTTTAATGGAAGCTTGTTAACGTCGACACATGCTTTTTATAAAGTTGCTCGTCTCGTCAGCATTTATTGAATCCCATTCAGGTATGAATGCGGTTTTTAAAAATTCCTTCGAGGATATGTTGTCCTTTTCTAGATGATATCCCATAAATGTTCTATGGAGTTCCAATCTGCTGATTGTAGAGTCGGTTTTTGCTTCTTGCAGTGATATAAAAGCCACTCATGCACTAAATACGACGAATATTTCGGGTCGTTCGGGTCTTATTGATATACGAAAGACGCTTTTTACTAATTTTATCTTCTTTAAAGACCATTCAACCCACTCCACCTGCAGCTATACATTATGCCCATTATATTCTTGCCAACCTGCTTAACAGTTGGGATAAAGTTTTTTCCTTCATGACTTCATTTGCCTTTCGACATACTTTAAAAGGACCGCCGTGTCCAAAATAAGTATATTGTTCTCCCAAAATGATTCCGGCTTGCTTACATGCTCTTTTGCGATCTCCAAACGCATTTTTGTTATAATCAGAAATCAATTGGTTTTTAGGAACAACTCTACCATGTAAACCAGCATTGTGTAGGGTGTTCCGGATGGTTTGGGTACAATTTTTTTCTGAAGGCTTCTCCAGGGTTTTAAGAATTGTTGTTCTGGGATTTTGTAATTCTGTATTTCCAATTTATGGTTCTCCCGTGGTGTCATGATGTGGAGCCTTCCAGCTTTTTTATGTTCTACAGCCAATTCTCCAGTGTTTATGTATTTTTTTTATCACACTTTGCATTGTGGAAGGTGACTTGACACTAATTCTACCAATTTTGGGTTAACTACGACCCGTTACTCGTAAAGTAAAAGGGTATATTAGATTCGATGAAAAGTATGTAACAGGTAGAAGGAAGCGTCTCCGACCCTATAAAGTATATATTCTGATCAGGATGAGTAGCGAAGACGATTGAGCCAGTCTGCTTGTCCGTCTGTCTGTATGAACACTGAGATTTTAGGAACTATAAGAGATACAAAGTTGAGATTAACCATGAAGAACTTTGAATATGAACTTTGTATCTCTTATAGTTCCTGAGATCTCATCTCATTTGTATCTCTTATAGTTCCTGAGATCTCATCTTTAAAAATAGTACATTGAAGCTTGCTCCGAAGTACAGTTAACAAAAAAGAATCGCAGATTGCCGTTAAATTCAGAAAAAGAAGTCAAGAGTGAGAAGTGTACGAATAATTTTTGTGCGCAAAAAAATGACTTGCGTTGTCAAGGAAATTATCTAGTATTTAAGTTAAAACTTGTTAATTTTATGTTTAAAATATTTGCTCGAAATGTATATCTTTCATTTGAGATATTGCATTTCAATTTCAGTTACGTATTTCTCGAGTTATTAAGGAATAAACTTGCGACTTATGGGTGTACGAATAAACACTGTACCTACTAGGACCGGAATTTCAAGTACTGGGAACAATTAATATTTTGTGACGAATGGAAATCTAATATTTCTTTTAACAAAACATCCGGCTTGGAAAATGAAAATGTGCATTTACCTATATGTATGTATGCACATATGTTGGTATACACTCGGCTTTAGCTTTCCCTGTCTTGGATTTTTCTCAAAGAAATCTGGGGAAGTGTTGCTGATTAGTCAGTACCAAACATATTTTAGTTGTTTACAGTTCCCGTCCATTGTCTAGCGGGACGGAATTATAGGCCCAATTTTAAAGCTTGATTTAAAAGCCGAAACCCCATAGATAGTTGCTCGCAGCGTATTTTGTGCTCACGAAAAAAATCTTCATAGAATTGATAAACTTGGTTTTTGTTGACTACTAGAAAATTGTTTTTATATCCGTTACACGTAGAGTGAAATAGTATATCAGATTCGGTGAAAAGTATGTAACAGGTCCATATGCAGCGCGAGTTTATTTCAGCATCTTGCCACGCCCACTGCAACGCCCACAAATCACGAAAAACTAAAATCGCTAAAATCTCACGAACTATTAAAGCTAGAAAGAGATTCAGTATGTATGATCTTGAGGTGCCAGGGCATATTATGGTGGTACCATTATCCGGGAACACCCACTCATACGCGAAAGACGGTTTTCGCATTAAGTGATAGAAAGTTCCGATTAAGCACGTAGATTTTTATGATGCCTTAAATGCGAATCTTTTTCTAGCCAGACCTATTCTAACGCCCACAAACCCACTGTGGCGTCTAGAATATCATAGTGTATGTCCTCGTTTGACCTTGTACAGAGTGACAATAAATAACCCAGAAAAAAATTTTTGATCATAACTTTTTAAGGAACTGTATTTGAGAAAAAATGCAGATACACAACTATTAAATAGGTATTGTGTTAACATATATTCAGCCAGTTTTGAAGTGGCTTCCTTGGGCTGCTATGCAGAACCCTAAAAGTTTCTGGAAATTTAGCGCAATGGGCCGCAGGTCTTCTTTCGATAATGGAACCCATTCTCGGAGCAATGATTGCCTCAGCGCCTCCAAACTTATGTGGCGTTTATCACATGCCCTGGATTCGAAAATAGACCACACACTATAGTCCATCGGATGTGATAAAGTCCGGAAAATTGGCTTTGCACCAGTCCTGAGTTAATTTGGCTCTATGGGCCTGGCACTGAATCCTGTTGAAACGTCCACTCCGTATCACCGATGTGCTGCTGGGCCCAAGGAATCACAACAGTTTCCAAAATGTCCCGGCGGTACACTTCCTGATTGCTTTTGACCCCTTGATCGATGAAAACAAGGGGTGTTTTGCCGGTTGCGCATATTCCTCCCCAAACCATTAAAGACTGTTCACATTGACGGCGCTCGATTATTGCAGAAGATTCTGGAGCTTCAGCCGACCAGCTTCTGTCATTTTGGTGATTGTGCGCCGACGCTTTAGCTGGCGGCATCTTTGGAGTCTCACGCGCTTATTGTCATCTGTAAGAAGATGCACTTTTTGGAGCTTGTAGGGCTTGAGATTAAGTTCATTTTTTGCAATCAACCGAACACTTTCTCGATTTCACGGGATATTTTTCTGACTCTACAATTCCGAGTGCCCCGCTTTTTCACGATCTGGCGAATTCTGGAAGTGTTAGCGGTGCATTGTGTGCCTCGTCTGGGACGGTCACCTTCATGGCCAAGCTCATTAAATCGCCGGATAGCGTCAGAGACCGTTTGTTTTGGTATGCCAAGCAAACGAACAATGTCGCATTGATTGATTTCCTTGTTTAAACAGTTTTAAAATTGCACAACGATTGTTAGACATCCCGAAACAAATATCAAATTGATGGCAATCACAAAAATGTAAATATATTTCTTTCAGAAAAGTAAAAGCTATCGATAAATGCATTTATTTAAGGGCTGCATCATAACACATTTACAATAGATTGCTTCAAAGCTTGTCCGGGTTATTTATTGTCACCCTGTATTATATATTGTGAATATCTATCGATTTACCAAAAAGTTAAATCGATGCACTATTTCGCTATTTATGAAGAAATGTAGGTTATAAAGCCTTACATTCCTTTGATGCCAGCGCATCTCAAGGCGGTATCATTATCTGGCCACACCCACCTCAACAGCGAAAAATTGTAGCCCACAAAACGAGGAAAACTATGGCGTCCATGATATTAAAATGTTATTTGTTAAGAAATGTAGCTTATAAGGCCTCACATGGTAGTGACGTCATTATCAGTCACCATTGTCAATTTCTACTAGAAAAATTAATATTTTAAAATTGCACTCGGCTATATAGTTACTTCTTGTACAGACTAAAATGGTTATCTTATCTAGCACGAATTTCGAATATCCGTACTGTCAAATTAAGTTCGACACCAGCATAAGTCCTTTACAGGAATGTTTATACCAGTTACTCGTAGAATATAACGGATTTGTTTTGTTTTCTTGACTGTATTGACAGATTTGAATCTGCATTTTGAATATGAAATAATTTTGTAGATGTCAGAATTCATATGATCAGAATGGGATGGCTAGTTATTACGAGGCTTTGAAAGTCCAAAGTAGCACTCAAAATGTTAAAACATTAATATTTAAAATATAATATATACTTTTTTACAGCGAGGAAATATATCAGTCATAAATAAAATATTGTAATTACTAAGATCTTTAATGGGCTTTCCTTTTAAAAATCCGGGAGAGTTTTCCCGGAAAAATTACTTTTAAAATTTAATCAAAAAAAAGACTTGCGACTAGCGGCTGGGGAATTTCCAAAAAAAGCGAAACGAACGAAACGAAGTTGATTCCAAAGTTCATTGCTGCCAGCTGCTTCGAGGTTCGATCGGTTAATGTTCTCCCGAGAGCAGCATAACATTTCGCATAGCCACGAACAGAAAAGCTTATCATTTAGATCACAACAACTCGGCTATGCTCAAGATTGAGTGAAACTGATAAGCTTTTGTACATTGGTTTAAGGTGATTTGTTTACGTTTTGGCTACGTATTCAATTAATTATTTCTTTTCATCTATCCTTAAAACTAACAATAAAACTTAATCTACTGCTCCAACATTCCGGCCCCGTTGAAGGCCTCCGGCGCTTTAACCTCCTCGTTAGGAGCGTTGCTTTCTGGCAGCAATGCCAGCTTGTGGATGGCGCGCTTGATGACGCCTCCTGACGTCCGTACCTCCGCCACACGCACTCTTCCGTCCTCACCGACTGTTGTTGCCACCACGCGGCCTGTAAGCCACCTTTGCGGGGGCATGTTGTCCTCGTGCACGAGCACCAGGCATCCGACCTCCAGATCGCGGCCCTCGACGCACCACTTGTTGCGATGCTGCAGGCTGGCGATGTAGTCCTTGGACCAGCTGGCCCAAAACTGCTGCTTGAGATCGGACAGCATTCGCCACCGCCTCAAATATCCGCAACTGGCCTTGCTGGAGATTCCGCCTGTGCCGGACTCTTGCGGCAGCGTGATTAGAGGCTGTCCGATAAGCAGATGTCCTGGAATCAGGGCCTCTCCATCGTTGGGATCGTTGCCTGGCGACGCGATTGGTCGAGAATTGAGCAGCGCTTCTACCTCGACCAGGTGGGTGCTGAGCTCGTCCGCTGTCAGCTTGGCGTTGCCGACTCCTCGCAGCAGCTGGTGTTTGGCGGCCTTGACAGGTGCCTCCCACAGTCCTCCGAAGTGTGGTGACGTCGGCGGTATGAAATACCACTCGACGCCTCTCTGAGTCGCGTATCCTCTCAACTGTTCCTGACTGCGGTGAAACGCTGCGCTCAGATCCTTGAGCACGTTGCTCGCTCCCACGAAGTTCGTGGCGTTGTCGCTGTACATCTTCTGCGGCAGCCCTCTCCTCCCGACGAACCTTTTAAAAACAGATAAGAAGCTGTCAGTGGATAAATCTACAACGAGCTCAAGGTGAACAGCATTTGACGAAAAACACGAAAACGGCAACATAAGTCTTGATAGGAGGCTGTGGGCTTAAAGTTTCAGATTTCTCTAGCTTGATATATTCTAAACCAAAATCAGCTCTTTGATATACTTGGACCATTCTTAGAAACGATAACTTAAGTTCGTTAGCCGAAATAACCATATCGCGATTATTTTTCTTCCCTTGAATAAACCGATTTACATATGCCATAATCCGCAGGAGTTTATTGAATGACGAACATCTTCCAACAAGCTCAATGAAGACATTCGGTTGATTTGTTGTGACGGAACATACTGCCACGATTTTCTTGTTCTCGGACAACTGTAACTCCGGTGAAAGCTCAGTCTGATGAGAACGAGGCCACTCGTTAGGATGTCGGAGTAAAAATTCTGGTCCATTTTCCCATAGCGTACATTTTAAACCCTCTATATCTCTTCCACGTGATACTAAATCGGCTGGATTATCCACCGTGGGCACATGCCGCCAGACAACATTCTCTGAGAGCTCTTGAATTTCAGAAACTATTCGCAACAAATGTAGCTAGAGTGGACGGATCCCTCTTTAGCCAGTATAAAGTGACTTGGGAATCCGACCAGAAGTTGATGCTTTCAAACTCTAATTTGTTAAGCAAGGGAAATACTTAAGCCCATAATTTGGCAAGCAGATGCGCTGCACACAGCTCGAGCCTTGGAATTGATTTGGTTTTGAGGGGGGACACTCTCGACTTGGCGGTCAGCAGTCTTGACAAACTATTTGTCCCAGCCACGGTACGAATATAAATGCAACAGCCATAGGCGTGGCTTGATGCATCAGCAAATCCGTGGATTTGAACACTGTCATAGGAAGACAAACAAATGTATCGAGGAATGGATATCCGGTCAATTTCTAGTAAATTCTGTTTGAATTCATTCCAACTGGTATGTAAATTCATGGGAACCGATTCGTCCCAATCCAGTTTTTGTCGCCACAGTTCCTGAAGCAAGATTTTAGCTCTCGTGATCAGCGGGCACAACAATCCCAAGGGATCAAACAAACGGGCTGTGACTGATAAAATGTTGCGTTTAGTTGGTGGTAGGGACTGAAACGAATCCTCCAAACTATAATGAAAGGCATTACTCTGAGGGTTCCATCTCATCCCAAGCGTTTTCACAGACTCGGAAGTGTTGAACATAAGCGATTTTTCTGATCCCTGGTTAGTCATCAAACTCGGGTGATTTGTTGCCCATTTGGCCAGCTGGAAACCCCCGAACTCTAACACCTTGGTCACTTCTTTGCGAATGACTTCCAACTCTTCTAAAATGTTTGCTCCTGTGAGCATATCGTCTACATAGAAGTCACTTGAAATTACCTCTGATGCGACAGGATGTGACTCAGAGTAAATTTTTGCCAGTTCAAAGAGGCAACGAATGGCCAAAAATGGAGCAGAGGCTGTTCCATAAGTGACAGTGTTGAGGCGATAGGTTTGGAGAGCTTGCGTCGACTTTTCCCTCCACACGATAAGTTGGAAATTTCTGTCTTCATTGGCAATGTTAACTTGCCTATACATCTTCGAGATATCAGCAGTCAAGGCATATTTGTGTAATCGAAATCTTGCCAAAATAGCGTAAAGCTCCCTCTGAATCGTTGCACCCACCATTAGAGTCTCATTTAATGAGATCGAGGTTGACGTTTTACTTGAAGCGTCAAAAACAACTCGCAACTTTGTGGTGCTACTATCAGGTCTCAGGACACATTGATGTGGAATGTAATAGTGTTGTCCTGGAGGAGGTGTTGGAAGCAGCGACATATGCCCAAGGTTAAGATACTCTTTCATAAACTCTTGATACATGTCATGTAACTCGCGATTATTTGCAAGCTTGCGCTCCAACGCAAGAAATCTTCGCCTTGCCGTTTCGAAGGATAAGCCTAAAACACTAGGATTTGTATTAAATGGCAACTTAACCTTAAAACGACCTGACGAAAGCCTGTGTACTGTTTTCTCAAAGTGCTGCTCGCAAACAACTTGTTCAGCTGTATACACAGCCTTCGATCTCTCCGGGACGTGTTCCAATTCCCAAAAACGTTCTACAAGAGAGTCGAGAGAACTTATATTTTCACTACAAGTGACGCTGCATACTTGAGCATTATTTGATACGCGTTGAGTGTACTTTCCCGAAACAATCCATCCTAATAAAGCTTTCTGTATTGAAGGATGTTCTGAACCCAATTTTATTTGACCTACGCTGAGAAGTTCGAAAAAGGATTCTGCCCAATTAGTAAGTCTACTTTTGCAGGCTTGTGAAAACGAGGGTCTGCTAATTCAATATTTGCTGGAATTTTCCACTGTGCACAATTGACTTCGTTATCTGGTTGATATGATGAAATGGAGCTTGATACCCAAAAATCGGTAGCGAAACTATGAGCATTGACGCGAGAATGAATCGAGGCGTGGACTTTGTGCCGTACTACAGAGTCGTTCTTCCCTACAGTAGTGATATTCAAATTCTTCCCTTTACTTTTGGTTGACTCTTCAGCAGCTAAATGTTGATATCGCCGATTCAACAGAGTCGCACAATCAGACCATGTAGGCAGCGTATTATAATCTAGCTGTTCCTCAAATCAGGATTTTGTTGTGTGATCTACTTTAGACATTGCTATGTGAATAAAAATTGCGTTGTTTATTTCCTTTTCACTACCCAAGGACTGTAACGATGCGTAGAGGGCCGATATTTCATCTATAAGAGACCTCAAGCCTGATGCAGAGGGTTTTGATACTTGCGGGAGGTCAAACAGCTGAGAAATCGTGTCAAAAAAGATCAAACATTTATTATCGTACACGTTTTTTAGATTAGCCAATGCCTTCTCATAATTTAGATCCGAAATTTGAAAAGCTTTCACAGTACCTAATGCATCATCGGTTAGACATGTTAGCAAATGGTTAAATTTCTCTATATTTGTTAGAGATGGGTCGTTGTGAACTAAACTCTCGAAAAGACTTATAAAATTTTTATAGTCTGAATGTTTTCCACTAAATTTCGGTAGATTCATTTTTGGCAACTGAGACGAATGACGATAACCACCTATATCACTTTGACTAAGTCTCTGAGGCTCGCATTCTCTCATTGCGGACCGATATAACGCTTTTGTAATTATGCACATCTCCTCAACAGACGCTCTTAAATCATTCACTGGATTTAACACATCGATATCTCCTTGAATATCTATCAATTTCTCGCAATATGATTCGAGAAGTTGCATTCGGTATTCCATTTGAAACCTATCGAATGAAATGGTTTTTTTCTCGAATGACGTTCTCATACGTTGAATGTCACTCATTACCCTGCCGTGTTTTTGCATAGCCACTATTAGTTTAGCACTAGGCTTTGACGATGATTCCTTTTCTTTCTCAGACATTTTAGGTTAATATAAAAAAATAAAATACTCCAAGTAAAAACAGTCGGACACAAGGGTTAAATAAATTTATTTCCAAAATGCTCAAAATGCTTCCTTAATAAATTTCCAACAATATCTAAATTTTAAATTTTAAAAATTAAAAAAAAATTTAATTTCTCCAAAAAAATTTATTGGGTTGGATAAGGGTTAAATGTGCGCAGAAGCACCACCAAAATGCACAAAATACGTTTGTATGTGTATTTGCCGTTTAACCAAAGCCGAAAAATGCACAAATGTTGCATTTCATTTGACAAATAAATTGTCCAAACTATTTAAGTGGATCCCATACGGGTTAAAGATGCCCACAAACACCGACAAAAAAACCAACAAATGTATTAAACTTTTTCTCCAGGCCGAATCTTTGAATATTCACCGAATTAATATCTAGGCAAATATGTACATATAAACATAAAACTGTGAGCAGGGCTTAAATTCACTGCCGAGTTTTGGAGGAACTGTTGGCTATATACAGTTTGAAAACCACTGCCGCTGCAATTGGCGCTAAAAATTAACCGATGTATTGTTCTACATATGTACATACATATGTACAGCATAGAAGCCACTGACACTTATATATAGCAGACAAATAACTGCTCTGCAAATGCACAAAAGGGAATCGAAATTGGCGGCGAAACGCTGGTATGTTTGTACATATGTATGTAGATATAGCTGTACTTTTGCAGTTGCACCGTATGTATATAACGCACATAAAATTTTCAAATTCTCGCAAAATTTAAAACACCGTAAGTTTTGTCAAAGGCAGTTTACTTTTTTATTTTATTATTCGGAAGTTAGGGTATATTTGGGGTGTAATAATATTTCTAATATAAAGGTGCCAAGAATTAATACCATGTAAAATGGACGCATACACACATAAAGTGGAGTGCTCACAACTTTTAATTTTTGGCACTGAATACCTGGTTGTTGTTAGGCATAATTTTCCAAGCACTTTCCTTCCGTACCCAACTGCTTTCGCCAACATTTCACTGCTTCGCCGAATTCCACCAGCTAGAATTTTCGCCAACAAATTTAAAAAACTAAACAGATGCCGAGACGACGAGAGGTGCACTGTTTTTTGATTGTTTTTCCGACGCGAAAATTAATAACAAAACTAGCCGTAGTCCCTGTTCGGGCGCCATGAAAATCCGGGAGAGTTTTCCCGGAAAAATTACTTTTAAAATTTAAGCAAAAAAAAGACTTGCGACTAGCGGCTGGGGAATTTCCAAAAAAAGCGAAACGAACGAAACGAAGTTGATTCCAAAGTTTATTGCTGCCAGCTGCTTCGAGGTTCGATCGGTTAATGTTCTCCCGAGAGCAGCATAACATTTCGCATAGCCACGAACAGAAAAGCTTATCATTTAGATCACAACAACTCGGCTATGCTCAAGATTGAGTGAAACTGATAAGCTTTTGTACATTGGTTTAAGGTGATTTGTTTACATTTTGGCTGCGTATTCAATTAATTATTTCTTTTCATCTATCCTTAAAACTAACAATAAAACTTAATCTACTGCTCCAACACCTTTTTTAATTTTAGGAAAATCAAAACGTGCCAGTGCGTTAGTTGCAGCGGTTGAAAAGGCTACAGAAAATTTTATTCAAAAAGGCGAACAGATTGCCTATGAGAATCCAGACATTACACAAGAAATGTTAGCCGCTGTGGATGAAGTAAAAAAAACTGGAGATGCCATGAGCATTGCAGCCAGAGAATTTTCTGAAGATCCATGCAGTTCCATGAAGAGAGGGAATATGGTACGTGCAGCCAGAAACCTATTGTCGGCTGTAACACGTTTGTTAATATTAGCTGACATGGTGGATGTTCATTTGCTTTTAAAATCGCTTCACATTGTTGAGGATGACTTGAATAAACTCAAAAACGCATCGAGTCAAGACGAGCTTATGGATAATATGAGGGTATGTCGGACTTACTATTTTATTTATCATTACAATGATCGACAAAAAACACAAAAAGCACTATCGATCCCTTTTCAGTCCTGCAATTCCTGTGGAATACAACATGTCATAAATTTCTGTTTTATTATTAAATAAAATTTTAACTTATAATTATTTTTTGTATGTTAATACCATAACGTAACCTTTTTTAAAAATGTGAATATAATATAACACCGTGAACTAGCGCTATGTATTGTTAAAATCATGTAATCCATGACGGCGACGGTTCTTATAACCATGTAAGGTATGTTACAGTTGATAATGGCATTGCCCACGTGGGGCCTTAAAAACTGTGTTGTTAATGTTTGTTGAATTTTCGCAAGAAATGTTATCAGCCGTTAGAAATCTTTGGTATTATCTATATCAACCTAGTGTTTGTATACTGATCATTAAGCAACCGTCTACATTTTTCGGTGATGTGTGGTGGGTTTGTCGGACTTGCTACCATTTCCTGACAGTTCAGTATTGTTATACCCGTTACTCGTAGGGTAAATTCGATTAAAAGTACGTAACAGGTAGAAGGAAGCGTTTCCGACCCTATAAAGTATATATATTCTTGATCAGTATCAATAGCAAAGACGATTGAGCCATGTCCGTCAGTCTGAACGCTGAGATCTCAGGAACTATAAGAGATGGGAAGATTAGCATCAAGATTCTTGAGGTCCATACGCAGCGCAAGTTTATTTCCGCATCCTGCCACGCCCACTCTGACGCCCACAAATTATGAAAAAGTAAAACTGCTTAAATCTCAGGAACTATTAGAACTAGAAAGTTGAAATTCATTATATATAATCTTTAGATGCATCTTAAAGTGGTACTATTACACACCCACCCACCACACCCACCCATACGCCCACCAAGCTCAAAAGGCGGTTTTCGCATTTTCTATAAAAGCTGATATCTAGGTAACTATAAGAGATAGACAATTCGGATTAAACGTGTAGGTTTTTATAATGCTCCCAATGCGAATTGTTCTGATCAAGCCACGCTTACTCTAACGCCCACAAACCCCGAAAAAACAAATATGCAAAAATCTCGGGAACTATAAGAGCTAGAAAGTTGTGCTAAAGAACACGTACTTAAGAGATGCCACTGCAATTTGCCCCTAGTTTTCATCTGGTCACGCCAACAAACCGCGGAAAACTTTGACGTCTATAGTATTATTACGAATGCCTTCGTTTGACCTCATATAACATATTTCCGTCAATCTTTATCGATTTACCAAAGTACTTTCAAATCGGAATATTATTTCGCTATTTATGAAGAAATTTATGTTATAAGGCCTCATATGGGCAGTGACGTCACTATCAGTTACTCAACGTGCTTTCTCCGACAATAGGTGGCACTTTGGGAATTTCCATTGTGCACAATAAAGATTTTAGAATTGTGTAAAACAGTATAGCGTTTCTTCTTGTTTTATATTAATTTATATAAGAAGCACTTGGCTTATGTTTGTATTTAGAGGCAAAGAATGGCAGTTACCATCTCACCTTAAACGTTAATCGGCCATAATGTCAGCACATACCCTTGATCTGAAGCAATGTGGCCAACAAGGTGCCACCCACTTCCCTCAAGAAAAGAATGTGGAAAGACCAGTCAGTCAGCAGGAGCTACAACTACCAAGCGACCCATTGAGCAACATCCATGTCAACTAACAGTCCATCTAGCACCACCTCATTAAACGTGTGTTTTAAGAGTGCCGATTTTGTTTAGAGATTAGGCAAAAAAACCTATCTTTACTATAATGTTAAGTATTCTGCGAGGGACCAGGAAGAAGTACAGCTTATACGCGCCTTAATAATAAACAATAAGATTACTGGAGAAGTGGAGATATGATGAAAATTAGGTCCATTTAAATTAATGTTTTACTCTTATTTATCTTAATTTTTTCTTTTTTTTTCATGGTTAATAACAGGTAATGATAATGGATTCCAAACTATTCTTGAAAGCTTACTTATATTAGTTACATTTTTATTCTTATGTACTGCTATTGGTTCATAGTTTCTGGTTGCATACTATGATGACGTATCAAAATGTTGTGATCTGCACTAGTACAACTAATTGACTAGCTGCTCGAAGTGGAATTTTCATCATGTCTTCTGTACTGTCTGTACTTTTTAATGAAATGTAGTTTATATGCGCCTTCTAAACTCTCACGGTATTACCAGCATATATCGGCTGCACTAGCATAAGTGAGGGGAACAACCGAGATATAATTTAATTGCCTCAGTTCCGTAATCGTTTGGGAATGCGGCAATGCAGCCATACCTGAATTTTTTATGTTATCCCAAAAATATTACACATTCTGTAGAAAGGAACATTACAGAATATATATATATATATATTCATTTTAATGGGAAAGGCGGACGTCTCGCTGCGCGCTTTGCTTCTCAAGCTTGACAGAGTCTTCTAAATCTTATGTACCACGCGTGGGCAAAATACAATAATTTTTCTTTTAGGTTTCTAGTCAACATTTATTGAAGTGCTTTGGGATCAGGTTCGTAAACGAATAAATCAGAATATTTTCCGAAGGGCGAGCAGGCTACATAGTGCTGCCCGTGTGAGGAGCATAGATTCTCCAAGCTTAGACACACTCGCAATGATTTTTTTTGGCCGCCAATATAGCACACGTACTGAGCTGTTTGGATGAACTTTTAGCACCAATTCGTATAAGCTTTCCTTGATCTTAGAGAAGTTTGTTGGCAAGGTGATAGATTGCGTAGATTCATCAATTCGCATTCGCCCATTTCCAATATTTATTAAGTGCTTTGCCTATATTTTAACCAACGCATCTTGTTGTAGTTGTAAACGCATGTTGGTTTTCAAAGTACATTTTTGTAAATGACACCATAAAATGTATGATTTGAGACATGCAATAAGTTGATTAGCAGGTGTTGAACGTGGTATAACCAACAGTGTTTGTCGAAAATTGCCAGACAATAAAATGAGTGCTCCATTAAAAATCCGTGCGTTTCCTCTTATATCTCGCAGTGTACGATCAAGCGCTTCCAATGCTTAATTGTGAGACATTGAGCATTCGTCACATACAATAATTTTACACGTTTTGAGAACATTGCCCATTCCATTGTTTTTTGTTGATGTGTAATATTGGAGCCTCAGTGTTTTGTAATTTCAATGGTAGCTTCAATGCTGAATGCGCTGTTCATTTACCATTGAAAAGGCTTGCCGCATTTCCAGATGATACAATGGCCAGTGCAATATTATTATATCGCCAAAATGGGCGATAAAATAAAAGTCGTGCCAGTTAGCAACACTCCACCGCTTTGTTTTGTGATTGTACGGATAATTCTTTTATACACAATGCGTAGTTCTGGAACCCACTGCAGAACATTTCTTTGAACAGACGTCCTGAGTTCCACAAAATCAAAGTTTGTCTCTCGTTGCAATTCACAATCGAGCAGGTCATTTGAAGGCATTGCTGGGTTTATCTTACGTATTTTAAAAAGAGCTGTCAGCTTCATTTTTAGAACGCTGCCACATACACCTCAGCTGTTAAGAGCTAGAGCTAAAATTTTACTTAAGAGATAAATTTTAAATAAATTTTCAATTTTTACGATTTTTTTCGTTTAAGAACCCGGAACCCGCTTGAACACGTGCAAAAAATTTCATTACAATTGGTCCAGCCGTTTAAGATTCTATAGCGGACATATATATATACCTAGGTCCGTCGTATGTGTTTAGATGCCAGAAGTTCCGGTATTTTGTTCCTGATTGTTAACATTTACAGTGATTACATATGATCTAACATATTTAACGAATTAATTAAAAGCATTGATCCAAAATTTTACGACGAACAGTACATTCTACCTGAAATATGTGGCCATGAAAATTTGCAACGAAAAATAAAATGGCTCCATCCTTTTACCTATTCACCTTACTAGAAAGACTGTACACATGCGAACTTTTCCCCTATAGACAGAGTTTTTTTGTTGCATACCTTGCTTTACGTTTAAATGACCACCGTGGATAAGGATGAACGATTCACAAAAAAAAAAGAAGATTGTGTAGAGAAAAGGCTTATATTTTCTTTAAAATCTTTAAATTAATCGTCTGTCAAAAATACTTTATAGATACATCCTTAAAATATACCTTTCGTGTTCTATGTAATTTGACATATTGGAATCGGTTAAACATACGAGGTGTGTTCAAAAAGTAAGGTGACTTTTCAAATTTCTCGGGCAACATATTTTCGATTATCGTTTTTTTTGTTTTGTTATATTGGTACACTCTTCCCTAACATCTGTACCAAGTTTCAATGGAACATCCTCTTTTGTTTGGTTGTGAGAGGCGTAAAGTTACAAGTTGTTTTGCGAGCTCGGCGATTTTTTGCTTTTTTCGGTCTTGGCTCGTTTGGGCTCTTCCATTGGGACGATTGGGCTTTGGTTTCGATATCATAACCATATACCCATGATTCGTCACCAGTTATGACCCTTTTGAGTAAATCTGGGTCGTCGTTGACGTCATTCAACAGCTCTTGAGCGATGCTCATGCGACGGTTCTTTTGCTCAAAATTCAGCAATTTCGGAACAAACTTCGCTGACACACGACTCATACCCAAAACGTTTGAAAAAATTTCATGGCACGAGCCAAGCGATATACCGACATCTTCAGCAACTTCTCTGATAGTGATTCGACGATTTTCCAAAACAATTTTCGTCACTGCTTGAACGTTTTCATCAGTTGTTGACGTGCTTGGGCGTCCAGAGCGAGGCTGGTCATTGGCATCTTCCCGGCCATCTTGGAAGAGTTTGTACCACTTGTACACATTTTTTTACTCAGAACAGTTTCACCGTATGCCACTGTCAACATTTCAAGTGTTTCAGAGCACTTAATTTTATTTTTTACACAAAATTTGATGCAAATCCTTTGATTCATATTTTTCGATAGCAAAAAATCGCCGAGCTCGCAAAACAACTTGTAACTTTACGCCTCTCACAACCAAACAAAAGAGGATGTTCCATTGAAACTTGGTACAGATGTTAGGGAAGAGTGTACCAATATAACAAAACAAAAAAAACGATAATCGAAAATATGTTGCCCGCGAAATTTGAAAAGTCACCTTACTTTTTGAACACACCTCGTATTTCCAGCTCAAAAAGTTTTGTTTAACCGAGAATTATATAATTAAACTCGTTCATCGGGTCCCAGAGAGTTTCCACATACTTTTAGCTTTTCGTTTAAACTCAGATAGCTGAAAGAGCTATACAATTTATTCCGATTTCGTCAGTCCACCTGTTTAAATTATCGCTGGGATTTAGAAGCAGCTTGTCATGCCCACGCTAACACCCACAGAAATTAAAAGAAAAATAAAATAAAAAAGCATACAAATTCCTGGGATCCCTATGCAGTTATCTGCCACAACCACAGACAGCGTGTTAAGCTATAATTGTGTCTTATAGCCTCAAAACTCGACTAAAGAGATATATTCTTGTTTTAATTAAATATAGCTGAAATGTAAGGAATGTAAATGTAAAGTAATCACAAGACATTTTCAACAACAAGTTTGACGAAAAGTATACCAGATTCGTTGAAAAGAAAAGAAATAGAAGCAAGCGTTTCCGACCTTATAAAGTATATACGAGTATATTCTTGATCAGAATCAACAGCGAAGCCGATTGAGCCATGCCCGTCTGTCCGTCCGTCCGTCCGTATGAACGCTGGGATCTCAGGAACTATAGCAGATACAAAGTTGAGATTAAGCATGAAGATTCTTGAGGTCCCGGGACAGCGCAAGTTTATTTAAGCATCCTGCCACGCCCACTCTAACGCCCACAAAAATCTCGGGAATTATTAGAGCTAGAAAGTTGAAATTAAGTATGTATAAACTTTGGATGCCAGCGCATCTTTTAGTGGTACTATTATCTGGCCACACCCACCCATACGCCCACCAAGCTCAAAAGACGGATTTCGCATTTTCAAGAAGACTTGATATCTCGGTGACTATAAGTGATAGAAAGTTCGGATTAAGCATGTAGATTTTTATGATGCCCCAAAAGCCACCCTAACGCCCACAAAACCCGAAAACCCAAAAATGCAAAAATCTCGGGAACTAAAAGACCTAGAAAGTTAGGCTTAAGAATACGTATTTTAGGGTTGCCACTGCAACTTCCCACGAGTTTTTATTCAGCCACGCCCACTCTAACGCCTACATACCGCGGAACACTGTGTCGTCTATAATAATATTATGAATGCCTTCGTTTGACGTTGTATAACTTAGTTCTGTTAATATCTATCGATTTACCAAAGATTTTTCAAATCAGAACATTATTTCGCTACTTATGAAGAAATTTAGGTTATAAGGCCTGTCATAGGCAGTGACGTCACTATCATCAATGACCATTTGTACTGCAGTTAACTTTTAACGTTTAATGACATTATATTTTAAATTGAGAGCGTATTGTATTTTGTAATGGTTCTACAAATTAAAAACTAAGCCTAATAATCATTAATTTGCTATTTTAAAGCAATTCGGCCGCAATGCAGGAGAACTTATAAAACAAGCTGCCAAACGTCAGCAAGAACTAAAGGATCCTCAATTGAGAGACGACTTAGCAGCAGCTCGTGCGATGCTTAAAAAACATTCAACAATGCTTTTGACTGCATCAAAAGTATATGTTCGCCATCCCGAACTAGACTTAGCGAAAGTGAATCGCGACTTTATTCTGAAGCAAGTTTGCGATGCTGTAAATACTATCAGCGATGTTGCTCAAGGAAAGTCATCTCAACCGACAGATATTTACAGCGGGGCAGGAGAGCTCGCTGCAGCTTTGGACGATTTTGACGTAAGTTAAAAATTAAGTAATATATTATAATAGGATGTTTAAATGTTTTGACACTTTAAGTTAATTATATTTTTGGTTACATTAACAGCCACATCTATCTGGCCCTGTCGGCAATCCTGTTACGGCTTGACAGGCAAATTCAATAGGAAATAGGAATTGAAAAAGGTTTCTAAAGGATACAAAATAAGATAATTTACTCTTGTAATAAATAAAAAAATTATCGTTCATGGGGGTGACTAGCTGCTTTGTCGAGTCCAAACTAGAGATATGGGCTTAATACCTACACAACAAAAGTAAATCACTTACTTAAATTACTTCTGGTGTTCCAAAGGGGAGAGACTTTGAAGAGTGCAATGAAAGATACATTTCCGATAAAATACTATATATATATATCGATATCAGAGTCTATTTAGTCGTGTCTGTCCAACCGTCTATTTGCAAGAAAGCTGAGATCTCGTGGACTATTATGGGCTGTCCATATATTACGTTTTCAGTTACTGAAATGTCCTCTCCATTTCCCCAGCCAGCCAAGCGATTAGGGATTTACGGTCTCATTATTCGGATACATTTTTTTTAGCTTTAACATGCACATTAAGCGATAAGATTTTAAAAAAATCTGTCAACGATTACTTTTTGTTTTTGATTTCATTGTTGACCGAAATCACTACAGCTTCACCGGCTTTGCCCCGGTGCATTATATGTTTATTTTCCAAAGTACATTATATATTTATGAATTGACCTTCCAGTTGATGTGTCAAATTTTCATTTACGAATATCATTAATTTGAATTTGTAAACTAATTCTGCAGGAAGGAATTGTTATGGATCCTATGACCTACAGCGAGAAGCGTTCACGCCAATTGCTCGAAGAACGCTTGGAGAGTATTATTAGCGCAGCTGCCTTAATGGCGGATGCAGACTGTACTAGAGACGAGCGGCGAGAAAGAATTGTGGCAGAATGCAATGCTGTACGGCAAGCATTACAAGATCTGCTTTCTGAATATATGTCAAACGTAAGTAATTTTTAATAAATGCGCGCAATTTGTTGATGAAACTTTTTGTTCAGATGAATCAAAAAGATAACAGCCCTGGACTTTCGCGAGCAATAGATCAAATGTGTCGCAAAACTCGTGATCTCCGGAGACAATTGCGAAAAGCTGTTGTTGATCATGTTTCCGACTCATTTTTAGAGACTACAACTCCTTTGCTTGATTTGATTGAAGCAGCCAAAACAGGCAATGAAAAAAATGTTCGTGAAAAAGCCGAAATTTTCACAAAACACGCTGAAAAACTAGTTGAAGTTGCTAATCTAGTATGTAGTATGTCAAGCAACGAAGATGGTGTTAAAATGGTTCGGTATGCTGCTGCTCAAATTGAAAGTCTTTGTCCGCAAGTAATAAATGCAGCATCTATATTAACTGTCCGACCAAATTCTAAAGTAGCTCAAGAAAATATGACCACATATCGACAGGCTTGGGAGGTGCAAGTTCGTATTTTAACCGAAGCAGTCGATGATATAACAACAATTGACGACTTTTTGGCAGTGTCCGAAAATCACATTCTTGAAGATGTCAATAAATGTGTAATGGCTTTACAAGTCGGAGATGCTAGGGATTTGCGTACAACGGCTGGATCTATTCAAGGACGTTCTTCTAGAGTTTGTAATGTTGTCGAAGCTGAAATGGACAATTATGAACCATGTATCTATACCAAACGAGTGCTAGAAGCAGTTAAAGTTCTTCGAGAGCAAGGTATGTTATACAGATTTTAGTAATTATAGCCATAATTTTTAATAACTTCTTGGAAGTGCCTAAACAATGTAAGGTCCGTAAATTTACAAAAAAAAATAATGGTATGTAATAATAAGCTTGAATTTCTTGGAGAATAGCTTGACAGTAGGCCTTTTTAATACCTATTACACGTAGAGTAAAAGGGTATAATAGTTCCTTAAAATGTATGTAACAGGTAGAACGAAGCGTTTCTGACCCTATATATATTACTAATCAGGATCCATAGCCGAGTCGAGCGGGCCATGTTCGTTCGTCTATTCGTACCTCAGGAAATAAAAGAGATTCAAATTTAAGTGAAAGTTTATTTCAGCATCCTGTCACGCCCACATAAAAGCCCACAAATCACGAAAAATCTCAGGAACTAAAAAGTTTGGATTGAGCATGCATAATCTTGAGATGCCAGCTCTAAATGTATATCTTTCATTTCAGATATTACATTTCAATTTCCGTTACGTATTTCTCGAGATATTAAGGAATAAACTTGCAACTCATGGGTGTACGAATAAATTATTGCCGACTGTATGACTTCGTTTGACCTTTCATAACATATTTTTGTCAATATCTATCGATTTGCCAAAGATTTTTCAAATCGGAACAATATTTCGCTATTTATGAAGAAATTTAGGTTATAAGGTAAACAGCTTTTTTGACAAAAGGTGGCGCTTTGTGGCGGCGCTGACAATGTTGGCAGGCGACGTTGGTGCTGTTCGTAAGTTCTTGCATAGCTGTAGAAACCGCGAGGTCTGCAGATTTTGTATTTTTTATACCCGTTACTCGTAGAGTAAAAGGGTATACTAGATTTGTTGGAAAGTATGTAACAGATAGAATGAAGCGTTTCCGACCCTATAATGTATATATATTCCTGATCAGGATCAATAGCGAAGACGATTGAGCCATGCCCGTCTGTCTGTCCGTATGAACGCTGAGATTTCAGGAACTATAAGAGATGGGAAGGTAAGCATGACGGTTCTTGAGTTCCATACGCAGCGCAAGTTTATTTCCGCATCCTGCCACGCCCACTCTAACGGCCACAAAGCGCGAAAATCGCTGACATCTCAGGAACTATCAGAGCTAGAAAGTTGAAATTCAGAATGTATAATCTTTAGATGCCAGTATTCTATTGGTGTTCCAGTGTTTTATTATATTTTTCGAAAATTTAGGGATAAATCTTGACCCCGACTCATTTCGTCCAATTACAGCAAAAACAAGAGAAATCGCTATAGTCGAGTGCCTCGACTATAAGATACCAGTTATTTTACACAATTTAAAATATTATTTTTGCTAAGGGAAATTTACAAATTGTCTGAGAAAGCATGTTGAGTATCCATGTAAGGCCTTATAACCTGCATTTCTTCATAAAAAGCGAAATAGTTCATCGATTTGAAAAATGTTTGGTAAATCGATAGATATTCACAATATTTATTACAAGGCCAAACGAGGACATACACTATGATATTATAGACGCCACAGTTTTTCCGCGTTAGAGTAGGCCTGGCTAGATTGGAAAAAACATTTCTTCGTGCTTAATCGGAACTTTCTATCAATTAATGCGAAAACCGTCTTTCGCGTATGAGTGGGTGTGGCCGGATAATGGTACCACCATAATATGCGCTGGCACCTCAAGATCATACATACTGAATCTCTTTCTAGCTTTAATAGTTCGTGAGATTTTAGCGATGTTAGTTTTTAGTGATTTGTGGGCGTTGCAGTGGGCGTGGCAATATGCTGAAATAAACTTGCGCTGCGTATGGACCTGTTACATACTTTTCACCGAATCTGATATACCATTTCACTCTACGTGTAACGGATATAAAAACAATTTTCTAGTAGTCAACAAAAACCAAGTTTATCAATTCTATGAAGATTTTTTCGTGAGCACAAAATACGCTGCGAGCAACTATCTATGGGGTTTCGGCTTTTAAATCAAGCTTAAAAATTGGGGCTATAATTCCGTCCCGCTAGACAATGGACGGGAACTGTAAGCAAATAAAATATGTTTGCTACTGACTAATCAGCAACACTTCCCCAGATTTCTTTGAGAAAAATCCTAGACAGGGAAAGCTAAAGCCGAGTGTATACCAACATATGTGCATACATACATATAGGTAAATGCACATTTTGATTTTCCAAGCCGGATGTTTTGTTAAAAGAAATATTAGATTTCCATTCGTCACAAAATATTAATTGTTCCCAGTACTTGAAATTCCGGTCCTAGTAGGTACAGTGTTTATTCGTACACCCATAAGTCGCAAGTTTATTCCTTAATAACTCGAGAAATACGTAACGGAAATTGAAATGCAATATCTCAAATGAAAGATATATATTTCGAGCAAATATTTTAAACATAAAATTAACAAGTTTTAACTTAAATACTAGATAAATTCCTTGACAACGCAAGTCATTTTTTTACGCACAAAAATTATTCGTACACTTCTCACTCTTGACTTCTTTTTCTGAATTTAACGGCAATCCGTGATCCTTTTTTGTTAACTGTACTTCGGAGCAAGCTTCAATGTACTATTCTCTAAGATGAGATCTCAGGAACTATAAGAGATACAAATGAGATGAGATCTCAAGAACTATAAGAAATACAAATCTGAGATTAACCATGAAGATTCTTGAGGTCCATACGCAGCGCACGTTTTTTACAGCAACGTGCCACGCACACTAACGCCCACAAATCGCAAAAAAATAAAATCGATGAGTGTTAGTGGTACTATTATCCGGCCACACCCACCCATACACCCACCAATCTCAAAAGACTGTTTTAAGAAATTTTTTTTTTAGAAAAGCTTATATCTCGGTAACTATAAGTGATAGAATGTTCGGATTAAGTATGTAGGTTCTTATGATGCCCCTATGCAAATTGTTCTTTTCCGATCAAGCCACGCCCACTCTAACGCCTACAAAACCCGAAAAACCGAAAATGCGAAAGTTTTGGGAACTCTAAGAGCTAGAAAGTTTTGCTTAAGAATACGTATTTATAAGATGGCACTGCAACTTGTCCTTAGTTTTCATCTGGCCACGCCTACTCTTACGCCCACAAACCGCGAAAAACTTTGGCGTCTAAATTATTATTATGAATCCCTTCGTTTGACCTTTTCTAACATATTTTTGTCAAACTATCGATTTAGCAAAGATTTTTCGGAAAATTATTTCGCTGTTTATGGAGATCTTTAAGGTATAAGGCCTCACATGATTTGTGACAATAGGTGGCGCCTTGTGAACTTCCACTTGCAAAATGAATATTTAAAAATTGTGTAAAACAGTTACGGGTATCTTGTAGTCGCGGCACACGACTATAGCGTTTCCTCTTGTTTTTTATTGAAAACCGCCTGAGCTATACAGCTAAGCTTATATGGCGTTAGTATCCAAGAGACGGTTTCCTCGCCAATTCATTCCAATATTTAATATTCAGAGTATCTTCAGCTTTGGCTGGTTGAGCTGTGTTTATAAAATTATAAAGTACAATTTATTGCTGATGTCATATTTTCCATATGTCATATTTTCAGGTAATTATTATTATCGTCCAGCAACTGTATTGCCATATTTGCACTGTTTGCAGTGCGTTACTTCCTGAAAGTCCATTGCTAACTTTCTTCCTTTATTGTTTTTATATTCTTATATTATCATTATATTATACAACAAGGAAAACAAAACTACAGTAATGAAATTTTTTAATAAGATCTATATTTTTATGGTAAATTTTCTCACAATATTATTTAATAATTATATTTACTATTTGACAAGTATAGCAGTAATATTAAAAAAATCGGAAAAATTTTACTTTTAATATCAAATACAGAATTATTTATTAAAATTCTACAACGCAGAACCATAACTCTGGGCCTAAATTGAAATAAGCTCTAAAATAAATTAAATAAGTGCATATATACAATCTATATAAGTTATGGCCGGATATAGCGAGAGGGGGGGGGGAGGGGGGGTAGTATTTCCCCGGATATTACCTAGCTAGTGTTAACAGCATCCTTGTAGCATCCTGTTCCGGTTCCTTCGTCCTTCCTTCCACAACTTAGTCTTCTTTATACGAGTTTACATTAAAATAAAACAGTAAGCGCTTTTAAACGTTACAATGGTTTTATTGCTACCAAAAAATAGTTTTCTGATTGCTTTGGGGGTACAAATTGAAGTAATTGTAAATTATAATTTGCGTGGCTTGTTGACTGCATAACGCTGGCAGTGCGGTTGCCGCAATCCGATGCCGGCAGCAGCGGTTTTCGGTGTTGCCATGCTCTAGGTGCTATAGCTGAGTAGCGTAGTTTTTCAAACGCTGGTCGGTAGTACCATCGTTCCGACTCAGCATCACTGCAGAGGCATTCGAAAGGTGACCGATCGTTGTGGGCAGCAACTTGCCGCATCGAGCTTTCTAGAACCAACCACTCCGTGAGCAGCGTCGTGCCACAGTGGTTACCTTCTGCTTCTTTAACTTTCTAGCTGGAGCCACGACCCGGCTACCAGTTACTAGAAGAAGTTCAGCAGCATCAACGTCACTGATCGGGGCCACCACCAGGTCTTGATCAGTGCTCTGCAGCGCCACCCGACTGTAGAGACGCCCACCGAGTGACCTTCCGTTTTGGGCAGCAACTTGCCGCAACGGTGCATCAGAACTAACACATCCGTGAGCAGCACGTGCCACGGCATAACTGCCTGCAAGACCTGTGCAGGCGCAGAATATTGTGGCCAAACACGCCGCCGGGAAAATTTTTGGCGTCTATAATATCATAGTGTATGTCCTCGTTTGACCTTGTATTATATATTGTGAATATCTATCGATTTACCAAAAAAAATTTCAAATCGATGAACTATTTTGCTATTTATAAAGAAATGTAGGTTATAAGGCCTCACATGGATACTCAACATGCTTTCTCTGACAATATGTGGAGCTTTGTAAATTTCCCCTAGCAAAAAAAATATTTTAAAATGGTGCAAAGCAGTAACGG